ACTATGTATCGTGGATAGTGACAATATTTGTTTTGCATAGTTCAACCAAAATAAAAATTACTGTGTTAGAAAAAATTCAAGTTTACAGAGTTTTAGTGTCAGTCCTACATTAAACTACTATATATAATGTTAAATATAATGTATAATAATGCAATGGGGGAATATTTGTGGGTCCTGATAATGCCAAATGTCTTGATTCCAGTAAAAAGTGGCTTACTTTATTTTAAATATATCTAGTCAGTGACCGAGAGCAAGCATATTCATCTAAAATAATTCTGTTTTCATCTTCAGAATCATGAATATGTGTATTCTGGTGTCTCTATTGTCCTGTGCTTTGGGTTATCAGGATCAAGTCCAAGCCTAATCATTTACACCCCAGTGTAATATCATATTTAGCATTTTAATCAACAGTCCTTTTTTTGTTAACCTTTTCTCATATGTCTTGGAGTATCGCAATAATATCGTATCGTGAGTTCAGTATCGTGATATGTATCGAATCGTGACATGAGGGTATCGTCACACCCATAATATTTATTGTTTGTCTACTACTTGTAACTGTTGTTTCCTGAAGGAGCCATTTCATTTTTATCCATTACCATGTGCGATGTGCTAAAAATGACAATAAAGCTGAATTGTTTCATTTAAAACTATAGACGAGCATCCAGACACATCAAGAGTATAAAAATAACTCTCTCTGACTCTCAGCCACACAGAAAGAGCGTCTGCTGCAGTTCTCCATCAGTGTCCAAAGCTCACACACTAGCGGAGAGAGAGAGAGAGAGAGAGAGAGAGAGAGAGAGAGAGAGAGAGAGAGAGAGAGAGAGAGAGAGAGAGAGAGAGAGAGAGAGAGAGAGAGAGAGAGAGAGAGAGAGAGAATATAACACAAACACACCAGCGCTCCACCACACTTTGATATCTTAGAGAGTACGGTGGCCAGTGTGTGAGATGAGAACAAATGATGGTAACTGATCGTTTACTATGCACAATATTTACTCAAGAATTTACTTAAATTATTCACTTTCAGGCCGAGAGGATCGAGTGGAAATAGATAATGCTGATAATCTCAGATTATCCAATAACAAGCAGAATTAATCAGCCCATCTGATATGCAAACACATTCTTACAGTGTTTGTAACACACAGAGAATGTTCCAGAAGGGTGATTCAACAAAAAACAAAGACATCTTTTTTCCAATTATAGACCAATTTCTCTGCTTTCCCAGTTCTCAAAGATTTTAGAGAAATTATTTGTACGCAGGCTTGACAATTTTATAGATAAACAAACTATTGAGTGAACATCAGTATGGCTTTAGAGCAAATAGGTCGACCTCAATGGCAGTGATGGAACTGGTAGAGGAGATTTCCACTTCTATGGATAATAAAGAATACACTGTGGGGGTGTTCCTAGATTTAAAAAAGCTTTTGACACTATTGATCACAGTTTATTAATGAGGAAATTGGAGAGATATGGCATAAGAGGAAAAGCCTTCTCTTGGCTAAGAAGTTACCTTGAGGATAGATATCAATTTGTACAAATAAATAATATTAAATCTGATCTAATGAAAGCTACTTGTGGTGTTCCACAAGGTTCGGTGTTAGGTCCCAAATTGTTTGTATTGTATATAGATGATATTTGTAAAGTGTCTAAAATATTTAAAATGGTATTGTTTGCTTATGACACAAATTTTTTACTGTTCGGGAAAAAAAATTGGAACAGCTTCTGAATATGGTTGAAAAAGAATTGATGGTCTTAAAAAGATGGTTTGATGATAATCGACTTTCTTTGAATTTGAGCAAAACAAAGTTCAAATTATTTAGCAATCGACAAAGTAATAGCAAAGTTAAAATTAAGATTAGTAATGAGGAAATAGAAAGAGTATATTAATATAAGTTTTTGGGGGTTATAAATTATGCTGGAAATCACATTTAAATAATGTAAAAACAAAAATGTCTAAATCCATTGCAATATTAAATAGAATAAAACATATTTTGAATGAAAAGTCATTATATATATTGTATTGTTCACTCATAGTTCCATACATTACTTATTGTGTGGAGGTGTGGGGTCATACATATAAAACTAATACAAATTCAATATATATGTTACAAAAGAAAGCAATAAGGATTGTAAGTAAATTATAAGAATTTACTTCCAAATTGTGTTCAGAGGCTGTTTGAAATAAGAGAAAGTCAGTATAAACTAAGAGGAATGTATATGTTTAAAAAAGTAAGAGCAAGAACTAACACAAAAAATAGATGCATATCTGTTAAAGGAGTAAACCTATGGAATAATTGTGACAAGGAATTAAAATTGTGTAATTCACTCTATAATAAAAATAAAAAAAAATTAAAAACAAGGTGATAAATATTTATAAAACTCAATATGATTCATTTGTTTACGTTATATGTTAACTATTGAAATAATGTCTGAGATGTGTACCTTTGTAATCATGTATGAACATCTTGGAAATGTTCTTATGCAAATGTATGTTTATTTTGAA